ATCCAACAGGCCCTCTCCAGCTGGCACCACACTGTGATTTGAGGGAGGACACTGGGAAGGAGTCTCACGGTGTGTGTCTCTCCCTGCCAAGGGAACAGGAGAGACTTCAAGGGCAGAGCTTCTCTAGGGGGGCACGAGTTGGCGTGACTGGGCCACCAGGCTGCCAGGGTGTTCTCATCTTCAGCAGATGATGCAACGCCTGATCTTAGTATCTGCCAGTATCCCTGCCAGCCTCGCAGTTCAAATGTAACTTGATTTTAGAGCTGCTTTCTCTCCCGCAGACACGCACACAAACATACCCCCTCAAGCAGCTTCTAAATTCAAGTTGAGCTGGGTAGGGAGGGCCTCTTAGAATCATAGAATTGTCTAGGTTGGAAGGGACCTTAAAGATCATATAGTCCAACCATCAACCTAACTCTGACAAAAAAATAAAAAAGAAATAAGCAATAAGAAAATCACTAAACTATATTCCTGAGGACCATGTCAACCCATCTTTTGAACACCTCCAGGGATGGTGCCTCAACCACTTCCCTGGGCAGCCTATTCCAATGCTGGATAACCCTTTCCATGAAGAAAAGTTTCCCACAGAATCACAGAAACACCATGGTTGGAAGGGACCTCTGAGATCATCGAGTCCAACCTTAAAAATAAAAGAAAATAAAAATTCCCAATATCCAATCTAAACCTCCCCTGGTGCAACTTGAGGCCATTTCCCCTTGTCCTATCTCCTGTGACTTGGGAGACGAGACCGACCCCCCCGCCTCTCTCTTGTAAAGCACTTGGGACTTGGGGAGTGAGAGAAGGAGCTTCAAAAATTCTGAGGATTGTTGCCTTATGCCAGGATTTGAGAAGGCTTCATCACTGGCCTCCTTGCTCTACCAGCTCTTGAGACAGCGCTGCAGAGGGAAAAAAAAATAAATCACAACGAAGAGAGGAAAACAGGCAGCTGGGGATGCCTGAGGCTGGCTGACATGATTTGCAATAGCTTGAGAAGTTGGCTGAGGCTTTTAGCTCTCCTCCAAGCCACTCAACCCATCCGCAGTGTCACCTCCCTGCTTCACCGCTGGCAGTGGGTGCAAACCCCAACTCGTGGGTCCCATCCTCAGCCTGGCAGCCGCCACAGCGTGGGCACATCTATTAAACCCGATGGAGCATTTGGGAGGTGGAGGGTCAGCCCCAGCAGCAGATGGAGCAACAGCGTGGCGAGCACTGGCCTCCCCAGGAGCTGTCTGCCGCAGATGGAAAAAGCCCAGGAGCCATCACGATGAAATCTTCTGGCTGGAGGGGGGTGGGGAGGAAAGGGGTGGGAAGGCATCCTCCCTCCTGGCTTTTCCAAGCCGCTGAGCAATCCTGGAAACCTCAGCTCCTCTCCCCATATGTGCCTGGCACTGACTCACTCGCTGCCGTTCTCGGTCCTGCGCTCTGCCGGTGGGAGTTGTAGAAGGTGGGACCGTTGCTATGATGTAATCCCAACGGCGTGTGGCTACCACAGCGGAGGCGGACTAGCCACCCACTCCAGCAGCACGAGCTGGCTGTGCATGACGTGGATGTGCCAGGTAGATCCGAGTCCAGTCTGCTCTGCTGTGGTCATGGGGATATTTTTTTAGCCTTGACTCTTGGTGGGGATGTAACATATCACCATAGGACCATACGTGCTTCTCTCTTGGAGAAAGACATCCCTTCATGTGGTCCAAGGGCTTAGTCAACGTGCAACCAGGAATGCAGTGAACAACAGGGAAACACTGGCAGGTCACCAGGAGTAATGCTCCAGCTATGACATCTTCCAGGCTGAGGGACATGACGTGGTCCACAGAAGTCATGGCATTTCCCTGGCTGAAATCACCCACAAACCGAGCACAAAGTTGCAGCCCCACACTGGCCGGAGGCAGGCAAGGAGAGCCACCATGGTTTCTCCAGCTCTGATTCCTCGGAGCACTGCGATTGCTCTCCATCTGAAACCATTCCACTAGCTGCAATTTAAAAACATAATCAACCCGGCAAACATTGCTAAGCAACTGGCTGTCGGTGCCACATCCCACCCTGTTAAAAGTATTTGCCCTCTCCATGACCTTCTGGCAAGGAGTTTTCTGCTCAGGCCTTGCCAGATTTTGTGTATTCAGCTATTGTTGGCAAGTCCAGATGCTTGGCTGGATTAGCAAACAGAACTCCAGGAAATCTTCTGCAACCATCCTGGTGAAGAACATTCCACAGTGGGGCTGTAAGGAGCAGCATTCCCACAACCCCAGGATCAGTACGGCGAGATGCTGGTCTCTGGGCATTACCACGGCCTGCACATCTCCAAGTCTTGGTGCCGCCACGCGTTGTACAGAGGGGATGTAAGATGGAGAGCAAATGTGTTGAAAACCTAGTTGGAGAGCAAGCTGCTTTGGGCAACAACATTTGGCTGAGAGGCTGAAGGAGAACCTGTTTGCCCATGGGGACATGCTCAAGAGGTGGGAAGACCCTCTCCAAAGTCTGCTGCCCCTCACACAAGCTTTCTTTGGGAACTTCAGCTGGGAAGGAGCGTTTTGGCACAGCTCCTGGCATGGTGGTGCCCCTGGTGTAGGGCCTATGCTAGGACACACCTTCCTCCATGGCCAGCTGGAGCAGAACTGAGGTCCACATCTTTGGCTTTGCTATCACACAAGAAAAGCCTGAGCACTTCCAGCCTGGCTTGCCCGAAGCAGTTTGCCATCAAAACCAAGTCTAAGCACAGCCTCCAGCAGGTCACACAGCCTGAGCCCTATGGGTTCCTCCCCATCTCTCATACTGGGTGTACAGAACCCCCTTGTAGGAGAGACCCCAAGCTGGACTCTCTTCACATGTTCTTCTTCCACAGCCACCAGCAACTTCGCCCTGCTCTCCAAGAGCAGACCACTCTCATCCACGCTTTCCCACCAGAGCATCACCTGTGGCAGTTCCCTGGACATCTGCGTCGCGAGCAAGGGCTTCTTTCCAGAGAAGCCTCTGCAAACTCTGCATCTCCTTCTCCTTGCCAACCACAGTGCCCAGACCCTTCTCCCTCCTCCATCCCACCCATCAGCTCCTGCCTCCCCCAGATCTCCCGGCAGCCCCATCATTTCCTCTGCGGCCACTCTAATGCTCGGCTAATGGTGCATCATCCGCAGCGGCCGCTCTTCGATAAATCAGAACCCAATTACCGGGTTAGGGAAATTGGAAGCAAATGCAATTAGCCCCAGCCCCTCCCCCGTGCTGTGCCCCTGGCCTCCTCCTTAATGAGGACTTTTTCTTTTGCGGGAGCGCTCAGAGCCGCGTCCGCCCGCTGGGGGACGAGGTGGCTGCCACCCCACAGCGGGGGTACGGCGAGGGGGAGACCCGGCCAGCCCTCACTTTTAATAGGGCAGATGGTTAATATCCCTGGCATTAATTCTCTCCAGGAATAGCGCGCTCCGCTCAGCTCCAACAGGCGTCCATCAGGGCTGACAGCTCCTCTCTGGAGAAAGGAGCATCTGGTCCTTACTATAAAAAGGAGCTAAAATAATAAATAAATAAATAAATAAATACGTAAGCACGTTGCTTGCTGGAGGACTGGTGCTGTTTGAGCTTTTCAGCCTAAATTGCCGCGTTCGGACTCGAAGAAGGGAAATTCAGAGTCAGGTCAGGATGCCAGGAGTTGAGTCACTCTGACCCGGGAACAAAGTGCTATGGTTGGGTCCAGGGCACAGCTCCCACCAGAGCAGGACTTCCCTCCAGTGGGCTTCCAGGAGAAGGCAGGAGAGGACAGCTGCTGGGATATGATGCCAGGAACAGCTCCTTTGGAAGGGACATCACTGGGGGTCAGGCATATGCTGTGCCCTCAAAGAATGAGGAGAAAAACTGCATTGAGGGAACCTTGCGGGTATTTCCCACACCAGCAGGACACCCCGGCATCACTCTGCCCAGCAGACTAAGAATTAACCCCACCGACCATCAACAAGCTGTCGCTGCAAAGGGCAGATTTTTGGGGAGGGACTCTACCAAGGAGTGGAGTGATAGGACGAGGGGTAACGGTTTTAAATCAGAAGAGGGGAGATTTACATTAGATCTCAGGAAGAAATCCTTTCCTGTGAGGGTGGTGAGACACTGGAACAGGTTGCCCAGAGAAGCTGTGGCTGCCCCATCCCTGGAGGGGTTCAAGGCCAGGCTGGATGGGGCTTTGAGCAACCTGGTCTGGTGGGAGGTGTCCCTGCCCATGGCAGGGGGTTGGAGCTGGATGATCTTTAAGGTCCCTTCCAACCCAAACCATCCCGTGATTCTATGATTTTCCCTGATGAGTTTGGAGGGGTGACTGGAGGGAGGTTACAGCTGCAGTCATGGCATGGGAAGGTGCACCAAAACTCCCACCCTGCCCAACTCACACTGACAGCAGCAGGCGACCACGGGTCCCACAAGGCAACTGCACTCCTCCCTGCCTCTCCCAAGAGGTCCTTTGGCTGTCGAAGGACTTTTCGAACCCCAACAGAGCTGGAGCAGCTAGTAACCCAACAAGTTCTTACCTTCCTCTCCCCCTCACTCACCAACAGCTCCTTATTACCCCCTTTAACTCCTCCCTCTGCAGAGAAAAGTAAGCGTGCTCAACGGTTATCTTACACCCCTTGCACCATCTTATCGCATCCTCTTGCAGAGCAAGAGTTCCCAGCACCAGTGAAGATTTAGCCCATCGTGGAGATGTGCTCTCACACACCCATTACTTTACTGAAAGGAAATAAAAAAAAAAAGGCTTTTCTTTTCTTTCCCTATGGTCCTGGAATAATTTATACAGGTTTAATTAATAGGTTTAGGACTGCCAGACATGCCAAGAAATCAAGTAAAGCAGAAGATTCAACGCTAAGAACACAACCCAGGCAGAACCACCCCCAAGCGCACCCACTGGGGGTGGGGGAAGGGGCCCAGACCCACCTAGCATCCCAAAACCGCCGCCCTGAAGAGGAACGGGACTATCCACCCACAGAATGAAGGTTCGTGAGGAAGATGAGGAGAAACCAGGGGTGAGGCAGAACCTGTGATGGCGGGTGTCGCGGACGGCGCGGTCACTGGGGATCCTCTCGCTCTCCCGTTGGTTAAAGGCATGGAGCCGGTACGGGTCCTCGCCGCCCTTCCACCTCCGGGCACTCAGGTACCTCCGCTCTTCAAACTGATCCCAAAGGTCGTCCCAGTCCACGTCTGAGCCCTGCGCGCACAAAGTCAGCCCCGTTAGAGAGAGGAGAGGTCTGACCCCGCTCTGGAGGTCCTCCTCAGCCCTGATGGAGGTCGGTCAGCCCTCCCCGGGCAAGCATCGCAAGAGCAGGCTAACAAGGAGCCTCATTAGGTCTTCAGGTTTTGGTTGCTTGCTTCTTTTTTTTTTTCCCCTAGGTCTTCAAACGGCATGTCAAAGAGAGCCTGCCAATTTGAATTTAAAATGACTAATTTGAAAACAAACTCAGGTCTCTGGTGGTTCCCCCTCTCAAACAGTGCCGTCTCGAGAAATATAAAAGCGCAAAGGTCTTGTTAAGGTTTTAATTTCTCTCCAGCAAAAAAAACCCAAAGGTATTTTACACCACATGCCCCCTCGCCCTTTCAGGTGGGAAAGGGCCATGAGATAGTAGCAGTTTCATCAAGCACGATGATCCCACCTTTCCACAGCCATACTCTAGCCCCAGGGCCAGCTCCGGCAACGGAACCCTTGAAGAAGGAAGCCATGGTCCTCCCAACCTGATGCCCCTCCATCTTTCCTGCAACAAGGCTCCCACCAAGGACTCCAGCCCTACCACAGGGAAAAGAACGGGCAAGCTCATGCCCGTGTGGTGTTCTCTCACTCCAAAAGGATAGAGGAGCTGTATTTCAGGGGCTACTCAACAGCTCCTACAGCTGCTGGGGGGTTTAAGCATCCCTCAGGAGTTCCTGAGCCAGCGAGCACCTGATAAGATCTCATCGTTACAGCAGCACAGCCTCTTTGATCTCAGCCCACGTGCAAGACGGAGAGATGCAAACATTTACAGACATCTCAGCCCCAAAGAAAATTGTGATCTTATCCAATAATTGATCTTTTCTTCTTTTCTTTTTTTTTTTCCACCCCCCCCTCCTCAGCTCACACCATCTCAAAGCCGATTTTGCCTGCTAATAGTGCAAAATGAAGCTTTTGAAACGGGTGATTTTTATCCCGTAATTGATTTTACTCACATCTGGCAGCATGCTCTCTCCAGTCATAGGAAGGGGAGGAGGGAGCAACGGCTCCTGCAAGCGAACCACGGCAGGACCAAGCTGGGCATCTCCAGCCACAAGATGCTCTACACCATCCTAGGCCACGGCAACAGGAGCACCCTCCAAAAGCCACCACAGCCCAGGGATGCAGGGTCATATTCTTCCTCACCCAGTATGACCCCATGGCCTTCTCAGGAGCTCCTCCAGCACCTACCCCAGTGCGGGGAAGATCAGAAGAAACCCCTGAGCCACCAGCCATACCAGGTAAAAGTTATTCCAGACCGGGAAAAACTTACTCAGAGCTGGAAGAAAGTTCTGAAACCAGTAAATTCACTGCAGGAGGTTCACAAGGAGGATGTGTGTAACCCACCCGCAAGCTTTCAGGAGGAGCGACGCACACAGGGTGATAAATATTGCTTATGGTTTTTTTTTTCTAAGGCATCTTGCAGAATGTGATTTACTGCCGCAGTAAAAGATCGGGGAAAAGTGAGGCGATTGCATCGCCGAGCCACCGACAGCCTGACGTTTATAAGATTCCACGATGACCCCAGGGGGGTCTGGCGCCGCTGAAGCAGCCGCCGTGCAGTTGCAGTCCCTAAATTTTAATGCTGCGAAGAAAAGCAAAAGTTGGTTTTACCAAACTTAATAAGAAGATGCATGGCTTTTAACAGCAGCCACATACCACTTCAGGCTGTTGGATGGACATGTATATTTACTTTTTGTAATGTGTTAAACCCAATAGCCTTGCATCAGCCGGAAGGGTGCAGCTGGGCAAGCATCCGATGGCTCTTGGGCTGGCAAATTCCTGCAGGAAGCCATGGTTCCAGGAAAACTGGAGCTTCTGCATGTGCTGCAAGGGCAGGGGGGGCTCTGACCAGGCCAGCAGAAGCAGGACTTGGTCCACAGGAGGGTCCTGACACCTGCTTTGAGGTCTGGGATGGCATCTCCCCAGCATCCATCCATCCCCACTACCATCCTGTTACTGCGAGTGGTCCAAGCGGTAAATGGATGCATAGAAAAACACCAGTGTCTCATCCCATGGTGTTTGTTTCTCATCCTGCCCTGCATATACCTTCCATCCAAGAGCTGCATTCTTGGTTGACACCACAGTGAATAACTAATACCTCCACGAAATCTGCATCTTGATCCCCCCAGGCTCTCCTTTTCCAGTCGAGGAAAGCTATCAGTAGGATGGTTCCTAAATATTGGCAGCTAAATATACACCTGAAATCAATAGCAACTGGACATCAAATAGAGATTAAGGAGTTGTTTTAACCACTACCTGGCCAAAGAGCTTTAGTTATAAAACAAGCTCAGGGATTGGGTTAACTTTCTTAACTTTTTTGGGTTAACCTTTGCAAAAAAATACCTGTGCATAACTGTGGGGGAAAGCAAGGCAGTGGCCTCAGATGAGAAGCTCCCAGCCACTCAAGCAGTGGGAGGCAGGAGACCACCCTGACCTCCACCCAGGGACTGTCCTGTTTGTCAGCACCTGATCAGGGATGGAAAAAAGCGAGTTTAAGTGGAAGGAGAAACCCCCTTCACTCACCCAGGGATGCCACAGCGGGTATGGGTTACTGGATAAGGTCTTCATCATCGTATTTCCGCCGTGTATTATCACCTTTTCCTCACACCAGAATTCTGTCTTGGGAGTTATTTAACTGATGTGCAGAAATCTAAATTTAATTTATTATGATCTAACTCACTTTAGAAGCCAAATTACCCTGCACTAGAAAAGGATCAAGTCAATACTCCACTTGCCTTTCTATTTATCTTCTGCAGGGCTCCTCTCTCCAAGTTTCATATTCATTTTCTCTCATGTACTGGTAATAAATTTTCATTTTTTTCCTTGGAATTAGGTAATTTCTCTTTCAACATTGCAGTTTAATGGCTGATATTAATTATAGGAAACACAGTCAATGCTTAAAGACTTGGAGAGACTCAATGAGTCTGCAGGAAAGAGAGGGGAAAAAAAAATACCCAAGGGGCAGCCAGCTGCTCTCTGCAAACAAGTGCCCCCCTTCCAACACTGTATTGGGGGGGGGATCAACGAGAGGGACCCCTCCAGGTGAGGAGACATGGACAAAACCCATCATGGAGAGGACCTCCTGCCTCAGACCAGCACCAGGCCAAGAAGAGAGCTCACTGAGAGCCTTCTCCTTTGCCAGCCCGCTAAAAGCAGACCCCCCCAAAACCACCCGCTGAAGGCACACCCCCCAAAAACACCCACTAAAGGCACACCCCCCCCAAAAAACTGCCCACTACCTCACCAGCAAAGGGCAAACAGCAAACCCCCCCGAGCAAGCACAGAGGCGGCTTTTCACCGCGACTGTACGTTAAAGATGGAAAGCCTCTCGGTGCAAAGATGTAATTCCTCATCTGCCTCTTAAATCACAGCTCAGAAACCCCAAAAAAAAAAAAAAAGGGAAAAAATAATATTAAAAAAAAATGGGGGTGGTGGTGCGGGGGGAGAGGAGGTCATTAGCAGTAAACCCACAATTTTCTGGCAACTGCTAATGCCTTGTTTATGTGGATTTCTGCGAATATGACATTTTAATGGCATAATAATTGTGTGATTAGAGTACAGCGGGGATCGCTGGAGCGGGGAGGAGGAAGGAGCGAGCCCGCCGGTGGCTGCTGCCAGCCCACGGGATGCTCGGGCCCCTCCTGCCTGTCCCCTCAGCCACCCCTCGCTGCCACCAGAGGCCAGGGCAGGCTGGACACCGGGCAAGGGGCCAGCGTGCTGTGGTGGTGAGGTGGCCCAACAGGGAAAGGGCATTTCGGGTGAAAAGCCTGGCTCAAGCGGAGCCGGGGGTGACCAGGGACAGGCAGGTCACACTGGTCCCCAAGGCCAGGAAGAGAAGAAAAAGAGTGGGTGGCATGAGCCAAAACCGGGCTCTGATTCACTTTCTTCTTTCCTGGTCCTGTTTTAAAATAGAGAACTGAAGCCTTGGCTAAAATAAAAGCCATTTTCCTTTTGGGGGTGCTCAGTGTTGTCGTTAGACCGAGGTGAATGGGACAGGCACCACGTGTATCCTTTCCGGAGGCAGCAAACCCCAAGGCTGGCTTTGCCAGGGAGCCCCAATATTTGGTCAGGCAAAGGGGTTTTGCAGGTGCAACGATGACCCCAAGAGGGGTCTGGCAGCAGCCAAATGTGCCTCAGCCCTCCTCACATCCAGCTTTCCCTGGAAAACCTCATCCCTGTCTGAGCTGAGCTTCCGTCGTGCCTTCCCTGGCGCTCAGGCATTAAATAAAATAGGAGGGAGGGAGAAAAAAAAAAAAATATATATATATATCAGCCTAGCAAAAGCTCCAATAAACAAGCAAAAATTCTGGAAACCTGGATGCCATTTGGCACGTTTCTGCCCATCCACGCTGGGTCGCAGGGGACATTTGGAGCACGTGTGCCCACTCGGTGCAGCTCGGGGGCATCGGGGGCGGAGGGCAATCTTTCAGTAGGAATTGCAACCAGGCATTACACAAATGAGATTTAAACATCTCGCTGAAGCACGAGGCCCGAGCAAGCAGGAGGTTCAATTATAGAGCTGTTACCGGCCGAGACGCTAATGCCATCTGAAAGGATTATAATGCTTCCAACAGGGCAGGGCTCATCCTTCCTCGTCCCCCGGGGCCGGCGCACGCACTAAGAGGGTCAGCAGCCCCAGAGGAGAAAGAAAGAAGGCAGCATCACACCGCCTCTGTCCTCCTCCCCGTCTCCCCAAACAGCCCAGGTGGAGCATCAAGACACAAGATCCATCAGTTGAGTTCACGCTTCACCCCGTGCATCCCCGTGGACTCATCCCCAAGATACAAGGGGGAGATGGACAGAACACCATGGCCATGCTCTTTGCCCTGTCTGAAGGGTGCGTGGTGCTGCCAACATCAGGCTGTGGGTCTCTGGAGAGCAGCCTTCACACCCATCTTTTGTCAGTGCGAGGTTGACGATGGACTAGATCTGAAAGGTTCCTTCCAACCTGGGCAATTCACAGA